GATGTGCTTTACTGTACTTAAAGTTGTAGTATCCCCCTCCCCCCTCCCCAAAAAAAAAAAAATCATATATAATTTTTGAAATTAACTTGCTAATTTTGCAGTAAAATACAAATGATTAAATTGAGCATAGACATTATTTAATTTTAAAAAATGTATGGTATACCCTGATTTTTATACTGGATAATGATACAAAAATAATAAAAACATTTTCAGTGACTGGAAGTGTTTCTGTCACTTTTCGCTGTAAGATTATAAATAAACATTTATTAAATTTTTATGTTTAAGTTGATAATGTTTATGTTACTTCAAAATGAGGAAGTCAATTTTAAAAATGATTCCTTTTAAATATTTCTTGGAATTTTTAATGGGACAATATTTCAAATTATTTCAATATATTTTCACTTGACTTAACTAAAACTACAAACAGTACAAGTGGCATGTCAATTAAAAAGCAAAGCTTGTAAAGAAATGGAACGCAGTTACAAGATACAACAGGATAACAATACATCTTTAAGGCTATAAAACACGAGAAAATAGAATTGAAAAAAGAATAATAGGTGTTATAAGGAGGATGCTGCTGTATTGTAAACTAAATAATTATTTTAAAAAGTATTTTTTTTAATAATGTTTATCATGCGAACATTTTAAAACGTCCCGATAGTGATTTACATATCGAAAAACAGAACACAACCAATCACAATAAGATGACGTAGGCCTACATTTAAACAACATATTAAGAAATTGTATAAAAGTAAACGCCCGAGGGAGTTTGAAACACACACGAATAATCAATGTACTTGTACAATCATCACGCAATGATATCGCAGGAGTGTGACGACCTTCTAATACAATTACGATAGCACAGATTACATTCAAAAATTAAGTAGGCCTGAAACATGAATTTATTTATACTAAATTGATGTTATGTCTGCTTATATTAACAAGTTTACTTAGGAAATTAACGCATTATCTACGTCGTCGTCATCAGTATTGTCGATATTATCAGCAGAATCATCTTCAGAAAGAGCATCAACATCAGCAGCATCATCATCATCATCAGCATCACCAGGCCTTATTGGCGTTTTAGCAGGGGCATTAACAGCATCAGCATTAACTGAAACAGCATCATCTGCATCATCATCATCATTGTCGGTCATTATCATCATCATCATCCCCACCAACATTATTATCATCAGTGAGTATTTTACAGTGGAGTCACATTACTGGAACCTTATCGCTTTCTAGATGGAGGTTACATTTACTGAGACTTCTTTAAAGCGATTGTGTGAAAAATATTAAAACATATTTAAGTAAAAATATTGCTCTCTACGCTTACCCCTTGTGGTACTTACCTACAACCCAGAGTTTGTTCAGAAGCGAACTTTATAAATATTATTCTAGGGCGGCAGTAATTCTCTTATACTAGCGCCATAGAACGGTTTGGGTCGAACAAAGTATGTGATCTTGTCCAGAAGTTTAGAGGGAATGTCTTTGAAGCCCTGACGGAAATACTTTTTAAAAATCCGATAGTAAAATCAACAGATAAGAAACTTTAGAAATAGTACCATTTGTCAAAGTACCCTTGTCGAAGTGAACGGTTTGAAAAGTTTACTTTTCATATTAAAGAATAATAACGATCTTCCTTAATTAATGATGATGAGGGTAACAGTAGACAAACTGTCTACACTGAATGATTGATATCTTTTATATTGCATATGAATTAGCAGTTAATTTTATGATATTGTGGCAGTTTCTACTATCAATTCTTATAGATAATTATTGTCCATCTTAGAAAATTAGAAAAATATTATTTTTCTAATTTATTTACTTTAAACATTTTAGCAATCAACCACTATTATTGTGCACTTAGCGTCACAATTTTACTGTCTATAGATCTATGTTGTTTTTATGTCAAACATTCTGATTTTTTTTTTAGTTTCTTTTTTATGATCTTGTTTTTATTTTCTATGCAATGTTTGTGACGATGTATTTGATGGTGCATTTATGACGTCTACGGTGGACTATAGATTTTAATATATATATATATAATATATATATATATATATACATTAATATATATAGGCCTATATGTGTATATATGTATATATATAGAAAAACATAATAACAAACATACAGTCAAGTCGAAACTGGTGTTTCGATACTTAAAAATTAAGATATAAATGACAGAACACCGAGCACTATATAGGAGGACTGCAAGCGAACAAAACATGAGATTGGCGATAGGAAACCATAACAACCAAATCAAACGCTTTAAACGACTTGAATTCAAGATAATTTGAATTAAATCACGGGACCACATAAACAATTATATTGGAAAATGTGATGGTTACTTAGCCAGCGTTCCGAAATAAATTGACAAATTATTCAGGATTGAGGATTGCAAGATGACATTAGTTTAATCATCCCAAACATTCGATTAGCCTTAAAATGAGAAGCATATGCATGAAAATTAAACGTTGGAAGTCAATGGCAAGTTACATTAGGAGACACCCTAATTTCACTGGACGTTGGATATTCGAAGACGATGTAAGGGGCTCACTTTTGTGGTTTTATAACAACTGGTATTTCGACGCAGCATGTTGTAGATGAGAGTCACTATTCGCGTCCCCAGTGTTCCTCCACTGGAAACTTTCGAAGCCAAAGCAATTACGCTCAAACAGTTACCGGTACCTTTTATCACCTTATTTTGTCGGCTAGCTCCCCTTCACTTAATTATCGAGCCCTCCAACTTCACCTTCGCGCCTTCATCAGCCCCCACATTACAATAATCCTAGATACGCCATTGAAAAGGTGGGCGTTGTAGCTTGTCAGCTTATGGATTTAATGACAGAGAATAATTTTCCCAGTATAGACCTTGATTTATATAATAGACAAGTCTGTTAAAAATAAGGTTGGTTGAATTTATCTTAATTAAATATTTTTGTTAATCACAACATACGCTAATAACAAGACTGCAAGGGAAATTGCATGACATTATATAGGCCTAATGCAATTTTTGAAATAAATTTTGAAAATATATATTCGTAATATTTTCCATTTCACATTCATTTTAATGCTCATCACATAGTTACATAATTACAACCCATGTTTTTAAGAGTTAAAGTAATCATCACGTTCACACGGGTATATATTAGTAAGTGTTCGATCATGCATAGCATATCACGCCTACGTTATGTCGTAAGTTACGTAAATAGGGCGTGAGTTTACAACCAACACGTAATTATGATTGATCTAATTATTCAACATCTGGTGCTTTTACTAGTAATTTATATCAATTTGTTGCAAAAACCAATAGTAGGGTTTGGCTTGTTGTTTGAAGACGCGAACCTTCTAATACCATGGAGTCATGTGTTCAATTTTTACATACAGTAATGTAAAAAATTTATCCCAACCACAAAATAAATAAATACAAAATCTCTAATCCAAGGTTCCTTGGGAGCTCCGTCCTTCGGAAGACACGTTACGTCGTTTGTGCAGTTCGCATTCATGGCTATGCTGAGTAACTCCTCAATTTAATCAGAAGTAAGCATCAGAAAAAGTCTAAAATTTTATTAATAAATAATAATAATATTATTAATAATAATTGCTATTATTTTAATAATAAGAAAATAACTGTTATTTTTATTTTGTGTTAAAATAAATAAAATATAAATATTTCCTGCAAAAAATCTATATACAGTAGCAACACTAAGTTGAGCTCATAACTGCCCTGCATTTTAACAGTATTTTATTTATCGGCGATGAGATGACTACACTTACCGCTGTACTCACGTAGCAGCATCGAGTTGTAGACACGTTGGAAGTTATATTTTTTTTCAGCGGTTAGCCTTCCATGTTCCGTTTGAGTAATAACCATCGTTGCTATAGAGTCGAGGCAGTTTTTTATTTCAGCTTGCTCGAAACGCGATATGGGTTAGCGTTTTATATATGACCTATGTTAAGTGTTTCAAGTTTAGCGAATTATGTTAAAAGTAAAAACGCTTGTATCCACGGTATCGTGGGCTTGCTCTCTCAACATCTAGACGCCTAAACAGGTAGCCTAGAATGCGTAAGCAACTTTAAGAACTGTAGAAATTACAAGTTCTATTTATCTTTGTTGGTGTTCTCCCATTGAAGCAAGACTGGTTGTTACTAAGAACCTCCATTCTTATTGACACCGTGCCGCCCTACAGTATTGTCCTCACTTTGAAGCCCCGTCAGCACTATCAAAATTTATTTGACAAAAAAAGAAGTGACATGCCTGAATATGGTCATGGTGACATCACATCATGACCATATATAGGCACATCATGACCATATATAGGCACATCGTAACTATATATGGGCATACACTAGTTTTTTGGGCCATACAATATTGTCAAAGAAAATTTGACGATGTAGACATAGGTTTACAAAGACCCACAATTTTATGAAAGTTAATAGAAGACTCAAGTGTGCTCACATTCGCGTATAAGCCAAAATTAGACTCGATATTATTATAAATTAGTATATTGATATCAATTATTATCATCATATGATTATATATTAATACATACGTAATTTCAAAATAATATAATCATAACATAACAAATATAACATAATATTACCACCTTACTACTATTGTTGATGATTTACAATACTTATTTTTTTTTATCAAAAGTAATTAATATTAATGATCATACTAATATGTAATTATATATGTTGTTGATAATGTATGTAATATGCATGCCATTAATAGAATATAATTAATATTAACCAGTGTATTATTAATAGTAGTATATTGTTATTATTAATAGTAGTATATTGTTATTTATCTTTAATGATGATGCTTAAAAAATGCTGATGCTTAAAAACTGATGACGATGTGGATGATGGTGGTGGTGGTGATGATAACAATAATATTAGAAAGGTTAGGTCTACGCTTATCGACTTCAACACATCCCACGTTTTCACAATGCTACAGAAAATACTTAAAAAGCCACCTTTACACCTCCACTTACCTGTCTTTATTTCAGCACTTCAAACACAATTCTCAGCAATCGATAGAAGTGTCGGTAATCTGTGAAACAAACATTGTTAAATATTTGATTGCCCACTACTGCCTAATCCTCAGGCCTCTTAAGCATTGGATGTGCAAGCAGGTATTGAGCATTGGACACAGGTATAGGGAACATGTGCATCTACAGCGTTTAGGCCTAGGATTTAGGCCTAAAAGGGGTTGATAATAGCCATGTTCTCTGTTTATTTTATTTTTTTATTTTATAATAGGCATAGTTGCTGCAACATTGCATGATTTGTAATACACACAGACCTTAAGACCTTTACCAGTATTTGTCTGATTCAATCTGGTCCTATAATATAAAACGAAATCAGTTGTTTTTCTCAGATCTGACAGATGTTTTTATGACTAATTACAACCCATCATCTGATGTACCATTATGCAAATGCGCACGTGTTCTAAAAGTACAATCGTTCACATAGTACAGTTACACAATGTATTTGCAATGATATAATGCTATATAATTTAAGACCCAATTTATACTATAAAACAATTAATATATTATATTTATAAATTCGATTGCGACTTACTGTTTAATTTCTTGCGTAAGCCTATTTCCAAATTAAACAAACATTTTCAGTTGAATAGATTGAAACCCATAGGATACTGCCTAGGACTGGAAGAAAAGCATCTTAATCATTAATAGCTCCGCCACTATTACATCGAATTTTCTTACCTTTTATTGTATTATGTATTTGTTATGTACTTTGTACCGTTTTAAATTTTATCGAGAAATTGTCCTTTCTTCTCACTGGGGATCATACAAGATTCTGATACTAAAGTCCAATGTGTTTTGTTATTATTTGATTGAATAAATTAAATTATATATTATATATGTATACATATATTTATTTGATTGAATTTGAATTGAATTGATTTGTTATTATTTGATTGAATAAATTAAATTATATAT